GCCGCCAGCCTCGGCCTCTGGGCGATCTCCTCTGGCCCCGGCTCCCTGTCCGAGGAGGAAGATGCAGACCTTTCTGAAAGGGAAGCGAGTTGGCTACTGGCTGAGCGAGAAGAAAATCAAGAAGCTGAATTTCCAGGCCTTCGCCGAGCTGTGCAGGTAAGGGGGGACGGGGCTCCGGCGCCCGGGGACCCCGGCGCAGCCCAGCGGTTGTTTGGGAAGGTTAGAGCCAAATGGGAAGAAGTGGTGCTCAGGGACCCGGAGCCCGGGTAGCCAGGTGGCTGTGGTGGCCGGCGGGTGTGTTCAAGGGAAGCGGGGGCCAGTGTGGGGGATGTGGCATGGACCAGGGCTTCCAGGAGTACGGAGGCCCCGGTCGGGAGGCCACCAGCTGCACAGGGTGCTGTGGGCGCGCTGCAAAGGTTGGCAGAGGAGCCTGGGAAATGGGGGACTCCATGGGGTTTGCCAGTGGCTTAAGGTTACTTTTGGACTGGACTGTTATCTTTCCTTGTCCTCTCGCCTTTAGTGGAGAAGGACACCAATCTGTGTTGACCACCTACTACGTGCCCCTCATGTGTTGGGCTCCTGAAGCTGTCATTTCGTGTCACTGGGTTAAGCTTAATTAAAGCAAGTAGCAATATTTGGCATGTATGTGATGATTTGCTGTCTCATTAGAGCCTGGCAGCCGCCTTGCGAATTGGCCAGGGTGGTGATTCTGGGCCACGTGTTAGAGAAGGGGGATAGGGAGGCAGAGAGCCTGGGGTGCCACGCCAGGGAGTGGCTGCACAGAGGTGCTCAGTCAGTGCATGGAGTGTGTAATGGCCTTCTGCTTTCTAGGCTGCTCCTGGCCCTCCATGCTGGTGCTCAGTGGTCTTCATACATTACAGTAGTATCCAATCTTGGGTCAGGTACACCTCACCTTGCTCCACAACGGCGGCTTTGCCTCTGAGTAGCCGTTGGTTGAGTCCTTTTCCAAATGAAAGTCTAAGGGAATTGGCTCCCAAAGCCTTGGTAGATTTGATTTTCAAACACAGGCTCCACTTGCATGTTTGTCCCTGGTGGGGACAAACCTCTTGGAGACTTGGACAGTTGGGTTGCTTACCCCTTGGTGTGGGGAAGTGGCGGGTCTCAACTGGCCTGTGCAGGCAGGCGGGAGCTACCTCTATGCCCCCATGCCAGTCCCAGGGGCCTGGTTCTGCACCCCCCAGGTCTTGGTCATCTGCTTTCTCCCAGGTTGACTTCCCCATGAGAAAGCAAGCTTTTCATTGTTGCAAGGGCATGCAGAGCAGCCCTGGAATTCACAAGGAAATCAGGAGGAGCCTGCAGTCAGAGCTTTGAAAATGGATCCAAGGGTTTTTATAAAAAGGGTCCTTTGAATATTGCACCCCAGGTACACACACTTGTGGAAGAGGTGACCTAAGACCTGAAAGGAGCTCAGGTGGCACAGTGGTTAAGCGCTGGATTGCTAACCAAGAGGTTGGTGGTTTGAACCAGGGCTTTGAACTCAGTTCTTTCCCCTGCTGAGAATTTGCATTTCTAACAAGCTCCTTCCTGAGAATTTGCATTTCCATTCCAGATATACTGAATCAGAATGTAGAGTTTAACAAGATCCTCAGGTGATTCTTATATATAACTTTCTGGGAACTGGCTAGAAATGCAAATTCTCATCAGGAGTTCACACCAGAACTAAGATAGTTTAGAGGCCCTGGTTTGAACCCACCAGCTGCTCCAAGGGAGAGAAGACCTAGTGATCTGCTCTCGTAAAGACTACAGCCTTGGGAACCTATGGGGCAGTTCTACTCTGTCCTGTAGGGTCGCTATGAGCTGGAATCGACTCAATGGCAACAGGGTGTAAGACCCTGAAGAAATGTGGAGAAGCCCCTTCCGCAAGCCCAGAGCCTTGCGGTTCAGCTCTGATGTGAGGCACTGGAGCGCCCCCTGCAGTCACGTGAGGCTTGGGGGAATCCCGGTTGATGCCTCGCACCCTTTATACTGATGTCTGTCTTTATTTGCGTCATCCTGGAATCGCAGCTAAGGCATGAGCTTGTCATCCGGTTGTTAGGTTTTGCTCTGTAATTAGGAAACTAGCAAAACAGTCCTAGCCTAGACTGGCGGCTAGATCCTCATGCTGGACTCCCAGATCTGCTTTCCCTCCTCGTATACCCCCTGGTGTTTAAAAGGGGAAGGGTCTCAGCAGGCTGTGATGTCAGCTGCTCTGGGGAAATCAGGAGCAGAGCATTCATTTCTCTGAAAGGGTTGTTGCGCATCAAGTCTAGTTGCCTTCTTCTGCCCAAAATATTGACTTCAAAGAGAAGGCTGAGAGCATGCGAGTCATTCTAGAACTCTAGGAAGCCCACTTTGTGTTTTCATTAGGGAAGCTTGAGATGCTTTGTCACTTAAGCTTAGGAATGAAACGAAAAGAAAACACGAAGAAGAGTTTGTTTCTTCTTTCTTATTTTCAGGGCAGCGCCCCCTGGTGGCCACATTTCTAGACTGGGTGCAAAATACTTCAGCTGTTCAGACAGTGACCAGAGCCTTTTGCCCGTTGTTTTGTTTGGTATGAATGCAGAAGTGATTTCAGTGGCCTGAGAGATGGACATTGGCATGTTTTGGACATTGGGAATCTGAGGGTATAACACTCTTATTGATGGATAGTGAATTGTCTATGAATTCTCTAATGAAAAAGTCCAGAGATGTTCGAACGTGACAGACTTGAGGCTCTGTTGTGGACATTTGGGACAATGTCAGAGCCAGAGAGGATGACCGGGATGCGTTGTATAGTTGAATGTCAAGCCTTGTAAAAACCTCAGAGCAGGAAGGGATGTTGGCGATCATGTCTTCCAGTGCTTTCGTTTTAACAGATGGAGGAATAGGCACTAGAGTGGCAGGCTTGATGCTTTCGCTCCTTTCGTTTCACTCCTAGAATGGGTCCAGCCCTGTGACTTGAGACCCTCACAGAAGGCAAGCCCTTTCTCCTTGGTACTCCGCCCTTTTCCCAGAGGTCCAGCTACTGCCGTGTTGTCCCCACGGACACTTTCCTGGCAAGGCTGAGGAAGTGAGGGTAATGACTGTGCCTTATTCTCCGAGGGGGGTCGCATATCTGTGGCATCAGTAGGTGGTTGGCGCCAGGTCCTGGGAAGTGCCCCCACCTGCCTGGATACCTTGGGAGGCACAATGGCCAACCCCTTGAACATGTGCTGCTTGGTAGGTCGGGGCCTCTGGCCAGTCAACAGATGGCTTCTCAGTCAGCTTGTTTTAGTGGTCCTGTTTGTTCCTCTGTTTCTTCCCCTCTCCACCGGGGACATGGGCTCTTGTTGAGTCTCCTTCACCCCTCCCACCATCCTTCCCCTCCCCTCAGCACTGGAGCCCCTTGCAGCTCCCTCCCATCCTCTCTTTGTGGTTTTATTTCAGAATGCCCAGAAGGGACTTAGGGGGGAAAGCAAAGAAATAAAGCTGTTAGTTGAAAATGTTAGGTGATTTCTTTTTTCCGTCTCCACAGTGGCCTGTTGGGGAATGCTGCCTGACCCGCATGTCGTTTGTCCAGTGCTTTCTGTGTCTCTCTGTCGCCTTGCGTTCCCACCTTTTTCTGCGGCTGAGCCGGTGTTGCAGGAGGTGGTAAAAAGGCACTTCAAATGTGGGTGAACCTCCCTCTGTTCTTTACTGTGTTAGTAGTTGACTTTTTTAATGAGGTCCTTGTAGGTGCTTTATTTCATTTAATCCTCCCAGTGGCCCCGGGATGGAGGGATGAGGAAACTGAGGCTTGGGGAATTGGTGTAAGGAACTTGCCTAATGGCACAGCCAATTAGAAGGTAACCCTGAGCCCGAGGCCTCTCCACCTGAGGACAGCACTTCCTTGTTTATTAAGTGTTTGTTCTGTGCTCGGTCAGCTGGGCCTTCCCGGAGGTTCCGGCAGCAGAACAGTGTCTGTGAGGCTCTGGTCCTTGAGAAACTTGGAGGCCTGCTGGGCAGACTCTGCTCGCAGGAAACGCATTTGTGGAGCAATCTCAGACCACTTTATCACTGCATCCTTGCCCACGGACCACTGTGCAGCTCCCACAGAAGGTGCTGAGGCCTGGTGTTCATTAGTGCCCACATTGATCAAGTGCCTTGTGGAGCCCAGGCCTGGTGCCAGGCGGTGGGTCGGGGTGTGGCAGGGGCAGAGCCCTGCCCTCACAGAGCTAAGAGTCTGGTGTTGACAATAAACTGGCCTGGGCAGTATGCCCGGGAGAGTTGAGGTGCTGGGGGCCGGCCCTTCCCTTCGGGGCCTACGTTTCTTTCTTTAAAATGGGACCATCTCAAAGGTCTCTTTCTGCTGGGATGGTTTAGCATTCTGGGCTGGAATTCTATTGAGAGATTAGAGGAGAGAAGGAGGATCTTTCCAGGGTTAAGTGATACTGGTCTGTGGGTGGGTGTTTTTTTGTTTTAAGGTCTGAATTTGGCACCACTTTTGGGTATGGGGATGGGAGGAGGTGCTGACCTAGGTTTTCCTTGCAGCTGTACACCAGAAATATCCGTAACCCTGTCTTGTAAATGAACACTTGTCCCTGGGTGGTGCCAGTGGTTACCGTGCTTGGCAGCTAACTGAAAGATTGGAGGTTCGAGTCCACCCAGAGGCATCTTAGAAGAAAGGCTTGCGATCTACTTCTGAAACGTCATTGAAAACTCTACAGAGCACAGTTCTACTCCGATACACATGGGGTCGCCATGAGTTAGAATTAGATGGCAACCTTTTTATTTTTTTTATTTTTATTTTTTTTACCAGCCTCTGAGGGAGTAAACTGGATTTAAAATGGAAGAAACTGTTCATGTGGACCTTGGTTGTCTATTGAAGAGACTGCCTGGGTTCCTGGCCTGGCTCCACAACTCACTTCCCACGTGACCCTGAGCATGTTACTCAATTCCTGTGTGCCTCAGTTTCCTCATCTGTAAAGTGAGGATAGTAATACTCAGTAGCTCAGGGCTGCTGTGAAGATTAAATGAGTATTAGCTAGAGATACAAAATATTTACAATGGTAGATATTTGTTGTGCTGTTGTGTTGTTGTTGCTGGGTTCTTGGGGAGTGGGTGACTGGGTTTTTCCCCGTGGATGCTTCTCTGTCCAGGGACCTTTGGCATGTGTGGATTTAGGTTCTTGGTTTTGACAATCTGCAAGCACTCCTAAA